TTAATACTTGGCAAGAAAATATACAAAGATGTTTAAATGGTCATTAAAAATGAGCAAACTTTTAACGCATGCCATTGCTTCTTTTCAGACAATTTTCAACGATTACTAACAAAGCACATAAAATTCACTTTCCTCAAACTTTTTATAACTTACTACATAAACTCAAGTTTTTTCTTCTCTATGTTCTTTCATATTTATGAAAAATCCAATACTTGCTTTGGAACAAAACTACTCTTGTCCTTGAAAAAAAACCAAAACAACTTACCTCATTACCTTGCATATTGCGTTTCTTTGTTATTGTATTTCTTTGTCGTTATCTCTAGTATATACTCAACCATTCATATTAATTATAACTTTCAACCAAATTAACTACTATTTCACAGAGAACACAGGGAGGTAGTTAATTGAGAATTGTCTGTCACACACAAGCATTTTAGCAGAGTGGCAAAGCTCATGAACACACATAATGACCACCTACAACCACCCACATCACTTTCATCAAACGTACAGCCTTGGAAACCCTGTGAGGTCTCTATGAGTCGGAATCAACTCGACAGCAGTGGGTATAACATACAAAACTAAGAAGCAAGGGTTTGTATATATTAAAACTGTGCTTAGGGGCCAATGTTTCAATATTCTGTCTTACTTAGATATTATCCAGATACACGAAGATTACTCATTAATTAACTCAACATTAGCCAAGGCTCTAATGTAAAGTAAGGATCTTGAAAATTATGTTTAAGCTGACATACTACCAAACATAGTAATTATTACTAACATAAAATTATTTTTAGAATTATGATAAATTTAGTAGAAAATATAGTTTTTCATTTTTTTAATCCTAATTAAGAGTAATATTAGGTTATCTGATCAGTAAACAAGTATAAGGAGTTTAGGAAGTTCAGAATATTTAGTTCTTCTATGGAAAAAAAAACTTAAAAAAATGCCTGTATTATATGCTACACTGATAAAAATTAGAGAAAACATATTTTAGCTATTTTTTTAAATCACATTTTCAAACTACATAATCTGTGCAAGAATTCCTCTTGTGTTTTAAAGCTTTTCTAGTTACCATTTTCTACTCTTAGTTCTAGTGGTATAATATCTTAGATATAACTTATTAATGAGGCTAATTCAATATAAATTTCCTCTTGTAGATTATATTTCTCTCATGATTAGAACAGAAATTCTCTGCTTCTCAGAAACTGGCTTTCTTTTTAATTCTTTAATTTCATTGAAATTATAATAAAGATACAAAGTATTATATTTCTGGTGCCATCCCCCTGGCTTATATCAGGCTTTGATTATCTGCGTGATTAGATTACTGATAGTGCTAATCTATCCTATTTGTTCTACTTACTTCTTTAGACACATCCCCTCAAACAGAAAGAATAGGTCTTCTGCATATCAATATTTCTAAGTAATTTCTTTGCATTTCCCCTTTAAGAACTGTCTTTTATGGAGAGAATTTCTTTTTTCTCCCCTTTTGCAATGTTTAAGCCTATTTCATCATGTGGTTAAGAAAACTAAAAAAAAAAAAAAAAAATGTGTAGATTACTTTTACCATGATTATGAAATGACTGTATAACAAATATGGGAACCATAATGTTATCACTTAGTTAAAAGTCAAAGAAATTTGGATACAGGATAAACCTATTGTTGTCGAGTCGATTCTGACTCATAGTGACCCTGCAGTACCGCGTAGAACTGTCCCATAGAGTTTTATGGAAGCAGACTGCCACAGCTTTCTTCTGAGGAGTGGCTAGTGGGTTCGAACCACTGACATTTCGGTTAGCAGCCGAGCACTTATCCACTGCACCACCATGGCTGCTTGCATACAAGATAGATGTTCATT